CCTCGGTCTGATCTCGTTTGTTCTCTTCTCTCCGACTACATATTATTTTACTTTATTTAATTATTGTATATATGTGTGTGTTATATATATATATATATATATATATATATACACACACACACACACACACACACATATACACATACATCATTACCAAAGAAATATTTTTTCTTCAAACAAAAATAGAACTTAACAATTTTGGTATAATACATAGAAATTTACCTTAAAATATGCTGTTAGTGTAGCAAAGCTTAGAAAAGGTTTTGATTAACTCTTTCCACACCATGTTTTTCAATAAACAACTGTCCCGCTGCCAGTTATTTTTAGATACACACATACACAACTGAAACTGGGAAATTTGAAGGAAAATTACACTTTCTCCATGGTGGTACAAAATTCCAAACTTGCGTGGCAGTGATCTAAATGTGAATATATATGTGCCTCTAGCGGTGAAAGGATTAAAACTAAAATATCACAAATGAAATTATTGCAAGTTATCTTGGTGCCACAAACAGATGAATAGCTTTAATATCAAGCATTCTAGGGTGGCTAAAATGAAACTTTTTGATGAAGAATACATAAATTATTACTCTTTTTTTATATACAAATTAATTCATCATAAAATTGACTATAAAGAAAGTTAATTCTTTATATATCTAAAACAAGTTGAAATTTTTACAGTGGATTTTATTGTTTTTGTACATAAAAAATCCTAATCTTACTTACCGTATAATCTTACTGTACATGTAAAATAAATTTAAAAGAAAATCAGGTATGATCCTGTATATGTAGATATTAAAAAAAAAAGAGTAACATATTCTATATAAATCAAGCACTTGTACGTAGGAGAATGTCTTACAATAACACTTAGACAAGATTTAAAGTTTTCAGTTGGATTTTCTGGTTCTTAAATCAGTGTATGGAGGGTTCAACAAATCCATCTTCATAAAAAAAATATGACTTTTCACATGATTTGCTTGATGTATCATCTCCTAGAGTCTTACTTCTGTATGGACCAAACTTTTGAGACACCCTGTAGATAACATATATATGAGAGTAGAATCAGTTGATATGGAAATAATCATTCTTCTTAAATTCTCGTACATATACATAATGTTGTTTGTTAAAGTGTAAAATCTATTGGTTCTACTCTACAGTAAGAAAATAAAAAACTAATGTGCTGTTGTTATACAAGTATAGACTTTATCTATTTAAAAAGTTGACTGAGATGTGTATGTGTGTATGTTTGTTTGTGGTGTAAATATCACTGAAACAATTGTTTGACTTTTTTGCACTCTACAGTTTTTCCTGTCTTTCTAAACTGTACCTTGTATGTTTTAGTTAACAAAATATGTATTACTGTAGCTGTTGTATTTTTAGATTGTTTAGTATTAGAAAAACTTGTTAAAAATAAATCATTTAAGATGTACATACACTATAAAAATATCTTTTAACAATTCACATTTTTATGCAGTATAAGTAATATGCAACTTCTCTGTAACAATTCAGTTTAAAAGAAAATTACATCAATTTTCATAAGTTTGTAAAGAAAACTTTACTGTTGAAACCATGACTAAAAATTACAGCAATATAATTCCAGGATACTCTTTCCTAACTTGACACATGTGTAAATGCCCTTTTTTAAAAATGTCTTCCTTATGTAAGAAGGTTCTAGAATATACTTTTAAATGTCAAAAAATGCACAGTAAATACATTGTATATTAAACTGTTTTATAGGTAGCCTTTATTTTCAAGCATTTCCTTAAAATGCTGAAAAACTACATCAAGAAAGAGAAGGGCAATGTCACTGAACAATAAAGAAATTCTTTCCAGACAGGTTTAAGATATATACTTTGACTTTAAAAAAATTACCCATTTACAGAATAGGAGAATTTGTATGTATTTTCTATTGGATTCAGAATGATGTTCCATTCAAATTACAGCAGTGTTTCAATTGTGTACAAGCAACTGTGTATGAATCTGTATGCAAGTTATATACAAATGTTTGTCCTATTCTCAGACGGGATTCTGGTTTGTATTCCATATTATATGTATGAGTATTTTTCAGGCCTAATCCTGTGAAAGCGTTCATGTATTTGGAAGTGTCTGACTTGTGGTATCTTTTTTTAATAATCTCTTTAATCATTTGTATTAAAGCTACATTAATTCTATTACATAATATGAGTACTGTGTTGTGAATGATATATATGTATTGCAATATGATATGCATCTTACAGTTGAATTTTCACTGTTTTAAATATAGAACCTTTGATGCCAAAATCTTTAACAAGACTTTTAAAAATTTACTAACATATTGTTACTTCTATTAAAATAACTTTGTTATTACTATGTTGCATTGATATTATGAATCACAGAAAGGGAAGGTTCCTGAATGCTAAGAATGCATAGAGTTTTTCATTAAAGTTACTCAACACTTTGCTTCATTTTAGACATGGTTTGGTTCACAAAGTTCTCCGTAATCTGTGATTTTTGAGGAATGAGGCAATTCCACACTTATTGTAACAAATAACATATTATAAGAAATGTACATGTAGGAATTATCTACTTTAATATCTTATTTCCCTTTTAAATGGCAATAATTTTTATGTTAATTTAAATTTTCCTTTACCTATTCATTTTGACCAGCATGAGCCACAGTACTATACAAACTGTGTATTTAAGTATAATTACCACCAGTAGACTTGCTTAAAGTAAAAGCCTCCTTTAGAAGTTCTATTTATTTTTGTGTAAGTGAAAATAAATAGTAACAAAGTATGTTATTTGCCATATTCGATGCTGTTTTTAGTTGTTGTTTTTTTTCAAAGTCAAATCATGTGATTTGAGGAAAGGTAGGTTCAGAGATAAAAATTTCTTCTAAGAATTTTCTGTTAAATTTTTTTTCACAAAGCATATTTTATTATAAAGAGAAATGAGCATTTAACAAATTTATTGAAAATCATAAAATTGGTGAGCACCACCACAAACCCTGCTTCAGTTGCAACCAGATTTTATAAAAACTATGTTATCACAATTTTAACATTGGTTGAATTTATGTAGTTTAGCAATTTTAATATACATATAGGCCTGATTGAATTGTAAAAAAAAATTTGAATAAAAGCAAATAATTAGAAAAATTACAAACTGAAAATAGGTTCAAAAATTGTTTTGACAAAGAAGTGTGGATTCTGTATCCACTTTATACATCTTTATCAAAAGCATTTGTGTTTAAAGAGTGTACATGTTGGAATGGCAAGGTATTTAAGTTACAACCGTTTGATTGGCAGTAAAGATTCACATCTCGTGACGTGAATCTGTAATGACCACAAATAGTAGGAAATCCATTAATTTTGAAGTTATGTAAAAAGTCAGTCTACACATACGTGAATAGTGATAGATGTTACACTCAATTTTATTTTAAACTTGTCATATACACCAGTGGACACCGACTAGTTGAAGATACATTTGTAAGCAAGCTAGTTGAACAATGTATACATTCATTGCTCACGTAATTTGGAAGTTTTTGATTTACAGAATTTGACTGCTTCACAAGAAACTAAAATATTGCAAAGAGATTTCCTGCTAGTAGTGTTTGCTATCCTTGAGAAAAATATTTTTTCTTTCAGTCCTGTAATATCACTGAAATGATCTTTACTAATACTCTCAAACAAGTGAAACAAAAATGTTTTTCAAAGAGTAAAGTATTTTAAAGAGTATTTTAAATATTGATGTGCAACTATTTTTCCATACTAGAAGTTACTGATTAAATTGTCTATTATTAATAGAATCCAATCATTCATGAGTTATAGAGCATGAGCACTATACTGGCGGTGCTGTTTTTCCTCCTTTTTCTTATTAAAGCATGAATAAATGTAAGAAATGTGTTTAAAATTGAATATCTTATTGATATTTCTATTTCTCCAATATCTTGTTTGTTCCTTAATTATTATGTTTAAGTTTTTTAATACATATTTACTTTTATACTGTGAAGTTGATAATTTCAGCAATATTTAATAGTGGTGAATACTCAGACATACAATAATAATCACTATGAATAGATTTTCTGTATATTAGGTATACACACGGAAACTTAAAATTGTTTCACTTTGCACATTATATGAATCTCTCTTTGGTTGTGATATTACATAATGGAATGACCTAGATCTGTTTGAGTTTTGTTTGATACATTATCCTTTAAGCATGTACATATATATCTGTTACTAAGTGTAAGCAAGTTGTTTTGATGCTTGGTGTAAAATTAAACTGCTACAAATATATCATATTTATTATTTGCACATTTTTGTGTTGTATTTTTATATCCTTGGAATTGTGTAATTAAGTATTCTCTTGGCTTTAATGCATACAGGGTGGTCTTAATTCTTGTTGTTAATGAAAATTTACATCTAGTTAAATAAAGAGATAAGTGAAACATATGTAGCTAGTGCATTTATACAGTGCTGTTATTACAGCACATCTTTATTGAAAACTATTATAAAGTAAAACCCAGCAAAAAAGGTTAGTCAGCTCATTTCTATTTGGCACTTGAAAATTGAGGACATTAAAAAACTACTTGAGGCTTGCTTAGGGACTACCTTCATTTGCATTCTGATGTGACTATTAAGAGTAAAGTAACAATTAGGCAGTCACTTGAAAATCCTCTTTCATGCCAGTGAAACTTTCTCATTAAAATTAAGAAAATTAACAGATATAAGATAATTATGTATAGAAATATCAAAAATTAATTGCTACATTGACTCAAATTCTTTGAAATATTAAGAAATTATTGACCATGATGTGGAAATTCTATTTATTTATTTATTTACCTTTTTTTTATACACTTTTTATACTATTAAATTATTTAGTTTTGATTTTTACGAATTAACAGTAATATATTCTTTCTTGTATCTTTTGCATAAACAAGGCCAGTAAGTAGATTTGTTTTATATTATTTATACTCTTAAGAACATTAAAAAAGAAAACACATGTAAACAAATAAAAGACCAAAACATGTGCAATAATAGTGCTCAGGGTGACCTTTTTTAGCAGAAAGGTTTATTACCAGATTAAATGAAATTATTTTCATGCATTACAAAGAATGCAATAAATAAAACAAAACCAGCCATATGCATGAAAATAATTTTTAAGTACTAATTCACCTTCTTGTGTCATATTCACAGTACTATATCATTTTATCTCATTATGTTCTTGTAGGTCTCTGGACCTTTTATCCCATTTTTTTACCTCTTCTCAATTTGTATTGGTTAGATATTTTGATATGTAATGAATGTATAAAATATGTTTTTCTATTGACAACTAAATTGAATAATCTAAACTGTGGGTTTGGCATAATGGTAAATTATGAGGGATTTCCAGCATTTATTTGTTGTTGTTTTTCAGTAATAGATTTTGTTTTGAGAAATGATACTGTAAAAAATCAAGATATTAAAATTGAATGATATTCTAAATGAAACTGTCTTATATTTAGAATTGGCAAGCATGCTTAAATGGTGTTTTATAATAGTCTTATTTGCATATGTAAACATCATCTTTTGTACACAACACCCACTATTTTATTTCTGAAAATAATGTCAAAAAATTTTGTTTTCTTATATATGTTTCCAGGAAATACTAAGTAATACTAATTCTGATACTGACTTTAGATCACTGATCTTACCTGTCTCCCTTTTTCTTAAAATAGGAAAAGTTAAAATTTTGCAAAAATAAAATAAAACTTGTATTGAATATGTGTTTAAAAAACTTTGAGATTTAAAGATTCAAATTCAAATTTGAAGAAATGTTTTTTAATCCAGTTTTGTGGAAATGTTTTGTAATTTTCTTGTATAATGAGGAAACCACAACTGTTGTTCAATGAATAAAGGGGAGGGTGAATATCTTTGTATGTAAATATTAAAGAATGCTAGCATTTCTGCTTTGTGTATATAAAAGCCAGTATTATAGCCTTTTTAGTTTTGAAATGTGCGAGTTTGCCACATAATTTAACATTTTATAGTTTATTTATGGTGGTAAGTGATTATCCATTATATAACTGTATGAGAGTAATATTTAATATCAGTAAACAGAACATATATCCATATTCACGATATAAAAAAGGAGCACTAATACAGACTGAAAATAATTTAATGGATTTTGGATTTATTCAAATGTACAGATGAAGTAATGGATTCATGTAAACTGTATGGTATGTTTTTGTATTTGATTATCCTATAGTTAGTTATTTACCATCATTCTAGTTCCTATGTTAGGTTATGCTAATTATGAGTAAGGCTGTTCAGATGATTTTGGAGCTCTTTCTGTAAAATGAACAGATTACCAATATTCGCCAACATTCATTTATCATAAATATGACTTTTGACTCACTTGTTATTGCTCTTTGTTAGTTCCATAAAAGTAACTTCTTTTTTTTTTCCTCTGAATCATCTTTACTACAAGATGATGCCTTTGTAATATAACTAAAGGGACTGTATCTTTGTCACTTCTCTGAAGGTTTGGCTCAAACTAAGAAGCTAATGTATATGTGTTCATATTGAATCTAAATACAGTTTTATATGTTTCAGTTGGCAGCTGTTTAAAATTATTTTTGCTTAAGTATATATATATATAGCTATTTATATTAATCAGTTATTTATGGTATAAAGTCATTAACTGTAATAACTTTTCACTCTACATGTGTTATACAATATTGCAATATAATGTATGGCAGAGAAATTTGAATGTATTTATTTATATTGTATTGCATATGCTTATGTGGCTGTACATGTGTAGATGTTACAAAAAACTAAACACCAAAGATAATATTTACTGTTTAAATTTTTTGTCTTGTACCATTAAGAACATCAAATATAGTTCAATATAATGAAGACCTGTACTAATCTTTGTATACTTTCATAGCCAGCAATTTTAAAATAGTAAGTAGTTGTTATTCAGATTACTGTTACTGTACTTTTTAGTAAGAAGCTTGAAACAGTTACTTTTAAACTATTTGTGTAGTTCTGTGCATTTACTTGTATGAATTCTCAGCAATTGTAGTGCAAGGATTGCTAAGGTTTGAACATATTGTTATGTTTTATTCCTATCTTTAGGAACTACAGTGTGTTCTTGCTAGCAATAAAATATATGTTCACATTTATTGTCTTCTGTATTCTTGCTAGCAATAAAATATATGTTCACATTTATTGTCTTGTGTGTGAGTGATTTACCTCTGTACACAATTCAAATGTCTCTCATTTATCCATCCACGAAGCATGAAAAGTAACACTAAGAGTTTATTAAAAATAAAAAAGGCAACTAAAAACCCTATAGTAAAAATCTAGTGTTTGATCTTGGTGTTACTTATTGTATATAGTTTAAGATATTGTTGCATATGTCATATATCTTAGCCAAATATTGTCTAAAGCATCTAGAAACTACGAACATGGAGCATAAACTATTAAGCATATTCTGTAGTTGGCAAAGATACAAAAGCACACACACAGGTAAGTAATATCACAGTAGATGCAAGTTGTCACAACCTCTTAAATTAATGGGCTGGTTGTGGTCTAATGGATAGTGTGCCAGACTACCTATTTAAGCCACAATATGCCTCTCCATGTATCTGCATTTCAGCTGTAGGACATTAAGCAAACAAACTTTTTAAACAACAGTGGAAACAAATTGCTCCAAATGCTTGTTCTAACCCAGTTATACAGCATGCCTCTCAGAATAGAATACCAGCATATATTTAGGCCAAGACAATGTTATCCTGTATTAGGACAGAGAGTACTGGAATCTCTTCCTCATAATGACTACACACTAGATACTTCTGGCAGGATAGTGTACATTCAGCTTCATGTACTACCATTCATAATCAATAACAGCACAAGTTTTCTAAATATCTTTTAATGGCTTTATTTCCAATGATATATATATATATACTAGAAAATTCACAATTTCTATAATCGTTTTTAAGACTGAGAAATATAAAGATATTGAATCTAAAGAACTAAAGTTTAGACCCCCCCCAAAAAAAATGTATGTACCTATTAAAGAGCATTAGCTGTAGAAGTGTTGTAATATTCAGATGTAAAACTGTAACCAACAAGTAAAATAAAATATAGTGCAGTACAGAAGGTTTTAAATTATAATTCAAACATCAAAGAAAAAGTCACGATGATGGCAGAGCTAACTGCATCCCATTTGCAATGGTGTCAATGAAATATATTAATACATGTATAAGATACACTGAAGTTGTAAGTTATGAAAGAGTAAAACCTGTCATGTTTCAACTGTCATAGTTCGAGTTATTTTAACATATGTTTTCCATTTTGGAAAATATTCAGCATCTTCACATAATGTTGCAATGGATTAAATGTGTCAATCATGATTGGGAATTTGTAAACCACTTTTGTGATACATGGTCCAAGATCTAGCTTTGCTACTAATCAAATATATTTTAGTTTCAGCTCTGATAACTATTAGATTTCAAAGAAATAGCAACAATTACGCCTCAACAAGCATGGTTAGTAAAATATGCTAAAAATTTATAAATGTCAAGTGTTTCAGAATAGAGCGATGTTTGATTATTTTATACACACAAGAATACAGCTTTAATTAACCAGAGATGGTTGTATATTTTGTAGTTTAGTATTTTAAAATATCTGATGAATTATAAATGTTAAGGTTTATAGGTAATGATCGATTGATGCTGATGTGGAGATTTCTACAGTTATTGTCAGTATTTGGTAGGAATCAATTTATAGGCATATCAAGTTTTTTTTTACTTACAAAACTTAAGCATTATTATGCTAATTATAACTTTAAATGTCAAATGAGAACTTTAATGTTAACACTTTTCTGGACAAATATAATGCTGGAAATTAGAGGGAATTCTTGGTACTCTCTATCTGTATTAGTAATTCTTGCCAAGTAGCTTTATACTGTCTTTCAACAATTGGAAGACAGTCATGCATAATTGACACCAAAATTTGGATTAAAGAAATTCTTTAGTGAAAAATTTATTTTAATGTATTTTTAATAGTTTTTCTTTTGATTCAGATGGTTATAGTAACTTCACACTTTTGTACAATTTGTAAAATCCATAATTTTATTTTATACTAGTAATAGTAGAATTAGCTTGTGTATTTATGCACTTTCAGTTGTAGCAGTTCATTCAATGATCACAAACAAAGCTAATTACATATCCAGATGTTTATTCGATTGAAGCAGAAGATACATATTCACATACAGCAATACATTACTTAATAATGACAAGGAAAAGTTAATATTTGCTCTAGATGAAAGTATAATTTACCAGAAATTTAGGCATAAAAGTTCTTTAGAATCTCATTCTTATACATATTTCAACGATCTAAAATGATAGCAATAGTCATTGGAATTCTTTATCCTAAGTCTATATAAACTAAAGAAAAAGATTGTTTTCACAAAAAATCCTGAGAATGTTAGATATCTTTGTGACCTAAATTACAAGTGCTGCTGGATGCAACTCACAAAAGAAAATTAACTACAAAATAGGATTATATCAAAAACTGAAAACAAAACTTTTCAATACTGGGAGTATTTGTATAATTATAGTAATACTAGAAAATGAAAACAAACATTTTGATGTTAGAAAAACGTGCAAGTTCAAAAATCAATTTAGCATAAAATATTTTTTGATACTAAATGTTTTCATAATTTTAACAAAACAGAATTGACAATATTACTAAACTTTATTAGAAACAAAAATTTGTATAAAGGAAAACTCAATCAAAATTACCAACAATCACAAACTATCTAATTTATTTTGATTTAGACTTAGCAAGTTTTATTCATAAACAAATTACTAGAGTTTATCAAACTTAAATTGAATCCTTGTAATTTCTGGATATTTCAAACACAGTTGCTTTTAAATATACATTAAAAAAAGTTGTATGAAATAAAACTCAATAAAGATTACAAATAATCAAACTATCCAATTTTTCTTTGGTTCGGACAAGTTTTATTCTAAAATATATTAATTTGTTTATACTATTCAATAAACAATATTGAGCCTAGTGGAAATTTGCACCAAGTTACTCAAAAATTCACCAATATTTAATATTTTTGCATGTGACAAAATCATTTCACATATTTACTCACACCATCTATTGATACTTCTGCTACCAAATATGTATGATATATATATTCAAGTATTTATATTTTTTCATTGCAAGGATTGTCATATTTCAAGAGTAAGTCATATCCAATAGTTTTCCTAAAATTTTGTTTATACCATTAAATGTAAAGTAATTATGACCCAACAAATTTACCAAATCAGTTCTAGACTAAACATTTTAATATTGAGCTTCTGGTAGAAATTATTTTTTTCTGAATAAATCCTTTAAACTCTCCTTCATTTGACTTTATGATGATAGTAATAATAATAATAGATGCTGGATTTTTAAATATAAGGATTCTATAAGCCCTTTGAATGTTAACTAAAAGTATGGTAAGGCCAAGCCATGTAGTTTTTAAGTTCGTGGTAAATACATGAAATGCAACTTTATATATTACATAGTTTCTACAATATTATCACAACTATCTGCAGTGGAAAAAAATCGTGCAAGTTATTAATCAATACAGTTTATTCATAAAATTTCCATGCCTGTTGCATTTTACTTTTTAACTGACTACTAGGATCTATATTGCAGTTACTGGACAGTTTAAACATTCATTGTTTGCCTTAACATGAAAATCTAATTTAAAAAAAAGGTATTCCCAAGTATTAAAAAATAGAACAAAAAAACATGGTACCCTAAAACATGTGTGTGTAATCCTGATGAATAAGACCAGACTTCAAAATGATTTTGTGTACCTTGCTGCAATATTACCACAATAATAGATTTCCAGCATGATCAAACTACTGTCAGAATTATTAACTTCTAAGCACTAACAAAAGTTTAAACAGTAAGAAAATTCACTACAGTTTAACACTAACTGAAATCACAAAAATGATATTCACCAATAACACCAACAGAAGCTGCTAAATCTTTTTTGACCACATAAAATTTTAGCTATCCAAATAATAGAAAGTCTGAATGAGACAATTTACACTGATTTGACATATTTTAGAAAATGTCTTAACATTTTTTTAACACTTATTTGGAAAATGTATACTTTACACCCATAAAAGTAAAAATAAATATCATTGAATTTAATCTGCAATATTTAAACCAAGGTTTCAGTTCTTTTTCTCAACAACCATAACCATCATACATATATATAAATACACCAAAAAGAAAATGTCTATTTTGTTTTCTTAAAGAAAAGGATATACCATTTACCCCAGTTGACTAACAAAATGATGAACAATAGAATGACAGCAACAAAACAAATGTTTGACATGTGTGTATGGTAACAAAGTTCAAAAATTTTAAAGTCATCTCATCTGGATCATCCAATATTGAACATTTGATTAAAGAAAGTTTATCTATCATAAATGAACTCCCAACTTTAAATAATAACAAATTCTCTACAATTAAGTCTGTTTTGAATAACTTGTATAATACTGGTAGAACTATTGCACTATTTTATTGTTTCTTGTTTTTTTAATTGACTTCATCCTTTTAGTCTGGATTTTACCCTGTTCAATATAGCTTGCTGAAGATGGAGTATGTACATTCTGAAATGTTCAAGAATTAAATGTTTGTTACCATATACACAAACACACACACACACACACGTGTCAAATACTTGTTGTCATTCTATTATTCATCACTAACAAAATGGGATTAGCATAAATGCAAAAAAAAAATAGTTTACACATAAACAAAATAAATAGATTTAAATGTACATTATAAAGTAAAAATAAATAAATAGGGCAATTCTAAGGTAAAACTGATACTATAATTAAACATCTAACACTTGCTCATAGCTAAGTTTGATGACAGTTTCTGTAACAGAACACTATCTGTTTCAATATTTGGGAAATGTTATCCAAAGCATTTATGTGTAATGACTGTTTTTGTTTTGAATTCAAATTTTTTTGAGCTTATCTTTGAAACACACCAATATTTTTAAACATTAGCATGCTTAACTTTATTTATATTAAATTCTCTTTGCAAAAGAAACAAAACAAACTAATTATATTTCACAATGTCGAAAACTTAAATTTCAGATGCATCAATTTTTCATCTTTACTGTTAAAAATTACAAACTAATAATTGCTTTTTAATTATGCAAGATTCTAAGTAAGGAAAATAAAGAATAAAATTTTCATAGTTGTACAGGACAGTAAAACTTATAAAATATAATTTCATATCAATAAGACAACTTGACCATAACTTTAAACAACTTGTATTTTAATAAGCGTATTTAAATATTATCACTGAAAAAATGTACAATATATATATATAAATGTATACCACTTTTTCACAAAGAAAATGACTAGGAATCACATCAATGAAACTAATTAACTCTGGCAGACAACATTTATAATGGCAATAAATAAATGATTCATACCAGATTATTGTAATTCTACCAGAACATCACATTATATTATTAGTAACCTAATACATTTAATACTAAACCATCACATCCTTTACATACAACAAAACTATTTAATAAATGTTAATTTTACCATCTAGTATACTGTGTATTCATTTTGAAAACTGCAACATGCAAAGCAAATTAATTATTTTTTTTAACACATAACAGATGAAGTAAGAAGTATTCATTTTCACAATAAAAGGCTATAATTTGTTGAAAGGTTAAATAAAACACAAAAGAGTACAGAATAGTTGATTTAAGAATTTTGAAAGGTTCAAAATTTGTGACTTTAAGCTGCATCTGAAAAATACAAAACACATAAAAAATAAATATAATTAAATCAAATGATTTTTAAGTACTTTCAATCATACTCACAGATGTACATTTGATAAACAAGAGCCTGTGATTTTTTTCATGAACAGCTTTTATAAATACCCAGTCTGCAAGTGGATGATGTTGAATTTGGGGTATTAGGTAGGCTACAGAGGGGTGTCATGGTTTCTGATATTCAAGTTAGAAAAAAGAAAAATTGTAAATTTATAACAAGCTTGATCTCTTATATTAAAAAATAATGCACTGTCAAAACAACTTGCATTTCAATAGTGTTCAATCACAAAGATGTGGAGTTTAGGGGGTGGCTAAACTGTGTTCCTCTTCCACAACATAATAGAAGTGTTCATGTTCAAGCAGGTACTGCCACCTTACAGCAGCGAATAAGCTTCATTGATCCTTTCTATATCAAAGAACTCATGAAAACTGCAGAGAAAACAACTTTATAGAGCTGATGTACTAGATCTTTTATTGCAAAACATGTGCAACCACTATCATGTTTCGTGTAGAATTTTGGTTGGAAGTATGGATTTTTATAGCCTGGAAAATAAAAGCAAATTCAGCCATGCTGGTGGGCAATTAAGATTTTAGATATCGCAGGAGGTTCAAATCTCTATTCAAAATTTTAAAAAACAAAGTGCCAGAAAGTTTTGTTTGGGAATCAACCTACCAAACATATCTTCTTGATTTGCAGACTGGGCAATAATATAACTTATACTCAAAATGATCGAATGTAAAAAGATCTCCTTGTGCAATAGAAAATTTGATATATTTGTTATAGTCACATAAAAAATATTTCTTTCTGGCAACAATTAAAAAAAGAAATTGTCTAAGCTAATCCGAAAATGATAAACAAAACATTGTACCTTAGATATTGTAAACAGTTGCAATAAATATGTAAAAAGAGTAAAATTTTAAAAATTATGTTACATCTCTAACCAGTGAAATCAAAATAAGCATTTCCAAAATGGAATTTGACATCATGAAATTATATAAAATTCACAGACGTAGCTTTCTAAAATTGCTAGAATCATGCTCGTGATGATTTATCATCTTAGTATTTTCTATATCTCTTTTAAAATCCTGATGTTTGTACAACTAATATTTTTAATCAAGATAATCTGATCTGATTTTCACACTGCAGAACAGGATAGAACAAGTATATTGAAATTAATCAGCTCATGCCATTTTAAAAAGAAGTTGAAATACAATCATGTTTTATCTGTTCAAAATAATGAATTTCTATTTTATTACAACATACACATATTAATGTACAGCATTTTTGTTCACAATGTCTCCTTAAAAAACAATGTATTCCTTAAGATCACCTCTGTTTAGGCACCTTACTATGTTTCATATAACTTTTCTTTTCTTTAACAATTACTGAAATTTTCTAGAAAACATAAAGTTAACTGTATAAATACAGCTAAAATTTATTTTAAGTGGGTTGGTAAATTTCCAAACAATAACTTTAGTCACAACAAATTCTGTTGAAACAATCTGTTGTCTTGTTTGTTTGTTCGTGTTGAATTCGCGCAAAGCTACACGAGGGCCATCTGCTCTAGCCATCCCTAGTTTAGCAGTGTAAGACTAGAGGGAAGGCAGCTAGTCATCACCACCCACTGCCAAACTCTAGGGCTACTCTTTTACTAACAAATAGTGAGATTGACCGTCACATTTTAATGCCCCCACAGCTTAAATGGTGAGCATGTTTGGTGTGATGAGGATTTGAACCCTCGACCTTCAGATTGCGAGTCAAGCACCCTAACCACCTTGCCATGCCAGGCCATTTGTTGTCTAAAATTGCTGAAGCTGTGTTTTACACAAAATGTTAAATATTTCTTATATAAATTTTTACTCGATATTCATATCTTATTTTATTTTCTTGGAATTACTTTTATATAAAAAATTAAAGTAATTTAACCACTTTTCATGTTAATTGTTCTACAAATAAGTACAAAAAAATATTCAGAGGAATGTTGAATAGGAAGCAAACAAAAAACCTAGAAAATTAGTAACTTTTACAACAGGAAATCTAAAACACTGAAAAACAAATGTAATTACTGTCTTGCATCAGCTATAAAAGTTTGAATGAAAAATTATAATTCTATATTTGTAAGGTAGTATGCCAGGCAAACTGCATTTCTTAGTGGCTCTTGGCATTTCAGTATAAAACTATTTCATAATTCTGTACTTTTCTTTTTTAATTCCATCACAACTAGTGAGCATCTTTCAGGTATTGAATGCACATCTGCATATAAATACCAACATTTCAATAAAAATAATAATTATAACTAGAGATTCACAGTTAATAAAAGTTAACCAAAAACTGGGTCCAGGTACCCGGTCACTAAGCTTTGGCCAGAACAGAGTTCTCCCCGCACCCCCCCCCCCAAAAAAAATACACAAAAATTAGAAACACAAACAAAATTGATGTTTATTACATTTAACCAAATAATCACCAACAGAACATTCAAGTTTTATTTTCAACTTTCAATGCTTAGCCCCAACTTCTCAAATCCTAACCCCTATTGTTTTCAAAACCCCCACCTTCCTCAGAAATCCACTTCTCAAGCCATGTCTGTTATTAACCCCTATTGTTCTCTGAATCCCCGACTTCCAGCAAACAGTCAGTCTTTGTTGCTCGAAACACATTTTTTTAACTAAACCAATTATTGACTGTAAACTTTCAGTACCACATTAGTTGCCACAAAGATTAGGGCTTAGATGCCTAACCCATTTTGGTCAACCATTTTTTAACTTGCAGACCTAGTGATTAGGCCTACTGCATTACATATATCTTAAAATCAGTTGTATTTCTTATAACTGATTTTAAATAGATTAATTAGACAATTATGGAAAACAATAAACCAGGAACAGTATAAGTAAAAAGAGTCATCTAATTATAACTATTGTTTTGTTATTATGCATCATTTATTGTAATATAATTTACAATGAAAAATAAACAAAGCATTTCTTGATTTCTTTAGAATTTTTCTGTCCATCTTAAAGTACACATCTATATTTCCTAAGAAACTATCTTAGGTTATATGAAGGAATCTAATAACCTGGAACTGGATGAGAAATCTACATAACCCCGAAAAGTTTCCTAAACAAAGCCAAATGCAAGTTATTTCAAGGAGCACGATATAAATTCAAATTTCTAATGTTATTTAATCCAGTTGAAAGCCACTTTTTTAAGTTATTTTCAATAAAGTATCTTTTTCCTCTAATAAATACTTATCAACATAAAACAAACACTCAATCTTACAATACATAAAAATCTTTTAGCTATAAAGGGAACCTACTGAAAATAAAAGGGTTAATTAAACTTAATTTTACTTCTTACATGTAAGGATAGATAAGAATCTCTTATAAACAAAAGATTTATTGATTTCTTTAGAATGTTAATGTCCATCCTAAAGTACACATGATTTTCCTTCTCTGTTAGTGGTTTTATTCCAATATCTCTTTGTTGTCATGTTATTTGACAGAATGTGATCTGAATAATTTCTAATGAATCTCAACACAGATAGGTGACAACTAAATACTTTTGGATACAGCAGATAATATATCTATATTAATGTACCTAAAAGAAACTGATTTGGACAGTAATTTATGCCTTTTCAAAATAATGACTACTTGTAGTTCTTGTAGGGGTAGACAAAAAAATCTAACAGGATGTTTAGAACATCAAGGAACAAATCGTGTATCTATGAATTTTTTGTAGTTTCTTTAGACACTTTTTTTTCTCTCAAAATGTACGTTATATAAATTATATATTTCAAGTCTACAAAAATTTTATTCTGTAACACCAGAATAGTTTAACCATTTCTAGCCAAATCACTATGGTTAGTTTCCCCCACCTATTTTTATGGTAAGTTTTAATGTTTAGTCCTTGCTCACTAATATTTCTTCTTAAAGAAACTACTTATTTGGCTACAAACCTAGTATATAATTATCAGAAAATTGCAAGATTTATTCCAAAACTTATTTTTAAAACAATATTGAAATTTGGAACCAAGGGTTTACAATTCAATTTTTAATAATGAAATTTACACCAGGTGGTTGTGGTGGCTATGGGATTTTGTCTTGCCCCTACTTTATGAAACTCATTCCAACTTATCACAAAAAGGCAGTAATTCACTAATTGTACACGCAAATTCAAGCCTCTTCACTATACTAGGAAAGGTATATTGATGACAAATATTGTTTAATAGCAACAATCAAGTAATTTCTTTTTTAGCACACCTCATTAATCAATACCACAATATCACATTTGCTGTTTAATTTGAAAATGAATTTAAATATCCTTGTTGAACATACTTTATCTGGTTTTCATGTTAGTTGCTTTCATAGACAGATTCATACCTGAATCTTTTAAATGCAATAACGTTTTTGTTCTAACAATATGTAAAAGTGTATTTGTAATAATCACTACAAGAGTGATCTCTGACTAATATGACCTATAAATCAGAACTGAATTTAATGGATAGTTCTATTAATCTTCTACTCAGAATTTAACACATATTTAATCTTTCTACTACTGTGAGAAGGAAAAAAATGAAGGCCTATCAGTACCACCCATCTAGTCCAGAAAGAGTTAAAGCAACTTTAAAATTGTAAAAACAATAGGATAGAAAAAGTATTGGTATTTCCAAGTGAAACAGTACTTATGCAACACAAAATCTAAACAGCCAGATCAAAGATCTCTAAAGCTCAGGATTGGTTCTAAATGTGGGATGACTAAGAACTAAAGGAAAAGTAACCAGTCAGCAATGCTGTTCACGCAGCTACTCTTAAGCAAATAACGAGATTGACTGTCATAATTAAACCCCCAAAGCTGAAAGTATCAAATGTGTTGAGTAGAACATTGTGATTTGAGCCTCGGACCTTCTAATCCACAGCTCAACATGCTATTCACTAGACAATACCAAACTTGATAAAGAAGTAAAATGCACTTAATGTTTAATACTGTTGAACATTTTTGTTTATTTAGAGTGCATTGGCTAGAAAAATAATTCATGACCTATACCTAAAATTTAATGCAAAATACAGTCAAATGAATTATCAACACAACAGCTGTGTGTTTGTGCTTTTTACTGGATTATTTCTACATAGGAATCATACAAGACATTATTCCCATTTTGATAAGTTATATTTTACACACTAATGTATTTGAAAGAAATACAAGTATATTAATTAGTCATTTCAAACTGACATTCACTGAATCAAGTAAAAGTTGTATGTTGTTAAGTACAAATATGTAATTCAACAATACCTATGAATAACTGAAATTTATTTCTCACCTCAATACAAGAAGAGTAATCCAAAACAGTCTTTTAAGCTACAGGTTCATATTTTGCCTTGTTGACATTCTTAGCCAAACAGCAAGCTAGCAGCACACCTAAGAGCTACAGTAAAGAAATATAGATGTTAAAAGTTATTTTTCTCTGTGAAATAGCCTTTGTTTCAAATAATATCAAACACTATTTTACTCTATTCTACACACAAAAATTTGTACATTTACTTTGAAATGCAGAAACATTATGTATATCAAAACAGTTACGTTTATTTGGCAAGTAAGGATAAAGAAATATGTTATACATAATTGGTTATGCGATATGCGAATGCTTCATGATCAAATCTGAAGAATATTAGTTTGGGGTTGCCAGACATGTTTTCTTTGGAATTAACAATTCCAATTAACAGCTTTATTTCACGTAATTGTAACAGTATTGAACAAGTCAATCCTAAGGCTAACTGGTACATAGTATTTAGTACGATTAGTTTTACCAGATAATTCTATAAGGTTACAGTTTAGTGATTCTTTAAATGGCAATGTTAAAATCAAGTAATTAAAACTAAAAGCACAGTTTAAAAACAAATCTGCTAGAGCTCAAATTAAGCAAGATTAATTTGAAACTATTTATCTATGTACTTATGTTTTTTTATACTTCTTATAAACTTGCCAATTTGTACTCAACTAAATACAGATGTATTATGAGCTTACTATAGTGATTTTTTTTTGTTAAAATAGAAACTTCGAAGTAAGAGTAACAAGATTTTGCTTTGTACGAATGTAATTTATATGAATAACAACATGAAATAATGGTAAAAGCATAATAAGAAAAACTATTTCTCCATTATTAATTTCAATAACCAGTTATCACCACAGTAATTTCATATCAGTATAATGCTAATTCTGTTACTGCAAGTACAAAACTACTGTTTCTTGGCACTACTGTACAGACTTAAGTTTGTCTCACATTATGGCTGTGTATGAAAATTTATCCCAAACAAAGTTTTGACTATTATTGTGCACCACTTGCATGCATATCAAGATGAATAAATTACGTAAATGAGAGAGGTAAGCCTGAAAATGCCACTCAAGTCCTACTATAAAGATGAGTGTATATTATGTCATTAAACAAAGGATACTAACATGAAATCATAAATAACTTCTTTC